GGGGGAGGGGAGAGAAAGTGCAGGCAAGGAGTTGTAACTCCTTGGTGCAGGTATTTTTCCTTGAGATGTACTATTTTTGCCATGTATGTCAAAAGATAACTTTTATTTTATTTCCTTTTTTTTGGAATTTTCAAATTTCTAAAAATACAAGTTTTATCATACATATTTCCATTTCTATAACTAAAACAGAAATCCATTCCACAATAAGTTCAGGTAGAGGAGTAATTGCTTGTGGGGGAGGGGAAAAAGCCTTGGTGCAAGAGAAAGAAAGAAAGAAAGAACAGAGGAAGGTATTTAGCCTCCACATAATTGATTAATTTTTCCCTAAGGAGTGTAAGGCAGAGAGAGAGAGAACAGTGGCTGGGGAGTGAAGTCTACCTGTAATTGATTAATTTTCTGTCTCCCCAACACCTCAATTAGTGACCAGCAGGGTGGACAGGTGACCACTGTCTCTGGTTGATGTCTGTCACTCAACAGGAATTAATGGGATGGTCTGGGTATATGTGTGTGTGTGTGGGAAGGGGTATATGTAGTCTGTGTGTGTGTCTGTTTGTGTGTATGTGTGTGTGGGTATATGTATTCTGTGTGTATGTGTGTGTGTCTGTCTGTCTGTGTGTGTGTGTGTGTGTGTGTGTGTGTGTATGTGTGATATGTGTGTTCTGTGTGTGTGTGTGTGTGTGTGTGTGTGTGTATGTGTGATATATGTGTTCTGTGTGTGTGTGTGTGTGTGTGTGTGTGTGTGTTTTTGTGTGTGTGTGTGTGTGTGTTGAGAAATATGAAGGACCTGGAGGTCTCCCATCAATGGTGATAAATATGATTTCTTGTATGTGTATGAGATATTACGGAATGGAAAAATAACATCAACTAACAATGACCAGAGGGAGTAGTAAAATATTTCTTCTAAATTTTATTTGCATTTTCTAATAGTTTTGTCCTCTTCTGGCTTTCATGTTTTAATATGCAACAATGGCAACAAGTCTCTTTCTTATTTTGTAAAAAATTTAATGACTTAGCAGATAGACATTAATTTACTTTTATATTTTTAGACTGATCGTTCATTCATATTCCCATGTTTCTTTTACTTTCAACTTACATTGATAATATTTGTCATCAAACAATTTTTAAAAAAATGGTCAGTACATGGTCATTTTGATGTAGTCTCTTTGCAGAAATGTAAATTTTAAATATATCAAAAATATTATTGAATAAAATCTGATTTATATATTTTCAGAATTCCACCTCAGATAAATGTCATCACTGAAATTGGTGTGGTCAGTGGATGGTCAGTGTGGTGTGGTCCCTGCTGGTGGCCGCCACTGGACACCCCTGACCATTGTATACAGGGTGGGTATCAATTATCAGGAATGATGGTTATCTAAAATTAGTCATTGTTGAGGTCGTCCACTGATCTCCAGTTGATTGCTTCCTGCTGGGATGTGGAGGTTTCTGAGTTAAACATGTGTCAATCACAGAGAGCCTCTTTAACAGCTTAGGGGGCAGCTGTAGAATTTCATGACTCTCTGTCTGTAGTGTATTGGAGCCCCCTGTGCAGCTTGTGTTGTGTTCCTACTACATGTTGATAGACATATTTTCTGACAGTCTTCCCAATTGTCTTATTTTATTCATCCCTAATCTTTGACTGTCTTTCAACAGAATAATTAATTAGATGCCTATCAATGTAAACTTGAAAAATTCTGACCGTTTCCAGAAGACCCAGAAGATGGCCTCAATCTGCCCCTGGTTTTTCACTTTTTGGGGGGTTAAGGATCCAGTTGTAGGGTACATATGTTAGGGCAAATAAATTTGCCAAAGGGTTAGATTCTGTATCCACGATTTTGATTTAAAGAAAGGAAGGATGGTGCTGGTGTTGGTGCTGGAAAGGCCTGGTGCTGTGACTGCCAGTGTCCCATAAGATACATGTATATATGAGACCATTCCCAGAGCCTATCGTACTAACTTTGGATCGATCTATTTCCAAGGGGATTCTCGCTAAAATTGCTATCAAGTTAAAATGTCTCGCACGCCCACTGAAGCTGTTAGAGGTAATTAACTATCGTTTAGCGGCTTCAGTAGGCGTGCCAGACATGTAAGCCATTTAAGCTACAAGCAATTTAGCTAAAAAACCCTTGGAGATGGGTCAATCCAGTTAGATGGATCTATAGGCATGGGAACCCAGTCTATGATTCCTTGCTTAATTAATGTTTGCCATGGATTGAAAACATCTTTATTCTTTTTGATTTATAAGCTGATTGCCCTTCCTCATCTTTTACTGCAATTTTGTTATAAAGACTGCAGAACCTGCAAAATGTATTTGTTATAGAGTTGTGGATTCTTTTTTAAGTCATTAGTGGTTAAGTAGTTATGTAGAAATAAATTATTATATATTGGTATGTGCTGAATTTAAATTCTGTGAAAAGCTGGTCAAACTCTTTCAAGGTGACATATATTATTTGTTAATTGAATGTAGATCTGCCTTTCAGTTTAGAAGGATATGGAAAATCGTACGTTAATCTTCTTTTTATTCTAATGATTTTTCACATTAATGGCTTTAAATATTTGAAAGACTTTAAAAGGATACCTTTCTCAATCTGTGTTTAATCATAAAAAGGAAAAATATGTTCCTAGGTACAATTACTTCATTAAACAACCATTCTAGTACGTATATTGTGGTATCCTCATCTGAGGTGAAACGTCTTTATTGTCGATGCTGTCTCACTGCTGTGGTTTCGCTATGCTGAAATACTCATGAGAGTGCGATGAAGGAAGTCATTCAAGATCAAAGCATCTCGTGGTGTTTATTAACTTTGATGACACAATCTCGCTAATGCTTGACCCAAACTAAGGAGCCTAGATTGAAATAGACAGACATGATAACTTGTGAGATTTCTTCTGTTGACTTAATATAGACCTCGCCGCCATTTTGTAATGCTGCGCCACTGATTCGTTCACGCTAAACCAGCGAGGTTAGGGCAGCTGCGTCTGTTGTTAGTATATCTGTTCTAGATTATAAATGATTTATGTAATCAATTTGTTATCACATTTCTCCATTTGATCTTTACGTTGTGCCAAGCAGTTGGTATGCCCTTCATAAAGCGATCCCAGTTTGTGGCTGCCATTTTTGACATAAAATAATGAAAAGGCACCGCAGTATATATCGACAATGAATGTGCGTAATTGTTACTTACAGCGTAATTTGGGAGTTGCATTTTGGCAATTATCATTTTGAACAAGACTTATTGTCTCAGGTTATTAAGAAGTAAAAACCGAGTTGAACTGTGGAGCAGAGATGTGGATTTTTTATCTGTTTCTCTTGCACAACTCGCTAACCGCAATACCATATTAGGAAGTGGGTTGCCAATGGCAACCAACACCAGGTCACTTGGTTTCATTAACCTAGACGATAGAATTGCTTACAATTGCGGTGCGTTCTGTCAGAAGGTTATCAGCCCCAACCGTTAGAATGCAGCATTTTACGGCCTGGAGCCATTTTTTTTTTTTTTTTTGGTGTGATTGTTTTTTACAGTATGAGGAAAAATGTTATGCTTGTTATGGGAGAGAAAAACTTCAAAGAGATAATTTACATCAGTATGTAAATGAATTCATAACTAGTATATTTTTACATGAGATCAGTAATTGTATATTTTTACCTTTTCAACTTAGGTTAGCTTTGACTGAAAGGAAAAGGTAAACCTTAACTACCAAGGATACAAAAACACCCCTTTTCATATTAATAAAAAGGCACAATGCAATTTTTATTTTTTATTGTATAATCTTCTATTTGATAGTTTTTAGAATGAATCAAGTTAAGAACTGTTGCACAGAATACAGTTTGTTCAAAGTGAATGATTCTTTCAGAAAGTTTTCTTTCCTGTGATGAGCAGTCCTTCCATTGTTGCCTAACTCATTCCTCCCAGTTGTGAAGTCCACTTGGAGGTATTGCCTAACTAGGAAGGAAGAGCTGTGCATACAGACAATGGTAATAGTCACAGATATAACTTTGATATTTGTAACATGGTAATGTTTACATTGGGGATAAAATAATCATGTTTCATGCTTACATAGGGGTTAAAAGACGGGTTGCCTTCCTGTTAATTGAAAGTAGAATGAAATGATTTTTTTAAAATGGTCAAATAAAAGTAATAATATTGTAATTGAAATGCAAGGGGGCTTATTGATGTAACAGTTACAAACAATGACCTATATTACATGTTGTGTAATGTATTATGTCTTCTAAGAAAAAGAAAATTCAGAGCTTGTTGACGAGGGTTATAGAAGACTGCCAGAAGTCCCCTCGGGTGACTTCACAGTGCCATAAAGAGGGAATTTTGTTTTGATTCAATTAAATCACTGCTGTCCTGTTGTCAGCACTGGCGTTTTTAATGCTCCACTTCAAGCAGTTGTTGTTTTTTAGCCACCAAAAAGAAGAAGCAGCAGCATGGCTTGCTTGCTCACACTGCTTTATCACGGGAGGCAGGAGATTATCTGGTCCAGTTCACCCTGTTCATAACTCGGATCACTTCTGCCCTGGTTTTAGCTGCGTTCACATCAGGAGTAAGTAGGAGTATATTATTAATTTTATAATACAATATGATTTCAAATTAAGTGTTAACCAGCTCAATGGGGCTTCTATGTAAATTCTCTGTGAACACATCTACAGAATATTTACTTGTCAGGTACTCGACAGTTGGAAATCCATGACTCAAATTTTCCTGGCTCAATTTTTTTTGTGGGTGACCACAGCTTTAAGGATCAGATGAGGTTTTGTTTTCTTGGTTCATTGGCTTTAAATCAATTCTATCTGAAGCTGACTTGGCTTTATTTGATAAACACAAAGTATAAAGCAATATTCAACAACTTACAGGAAAAAAAAAATAAAATAACTGACGTCAAAAAGTTGAACTGAAAAAAAAAAAATCCTAAGAGTAAGCCGGATCAGGGCCAGCATGATTTATGGCAAGTGTGAACCTGCCCTCAGAGCACTCGCTGTAGCTTGTGCTGGATTACTCCTTGCAAGTTTGCCTGGGAGCAAAGCTGTCAGAATCAGGTTTGTAACATTACAACAAGTTTGAAAACACAGGTTGTCCAAACATCAAGGAGCGTAAAAAAATGCGATATCAATAACGGCCTGAACCTGGTGACTCGTATGAGTAAAAGTCATGTGTAACTTGGTACAGCTTGCTCGCAGCCGTGCACTAATTTTTTGGGAATGTGCGGCATGTTGCCAGCGCAGAAACTAAATCCACTCGCGCTGTTTGTACTAGTGCGATAGTGTTTTCATAATAACGAGCCAGTTCTATGATCCTGCAATTTCATTATCCAGACAGATGTAATAGCAAGTAATTACAATGTCACTTGTGTTTCCTTTTTATTTTTACTGACAAAGATTCCCATCAAAGGGCAACAAAATGTTTTTTAAAAGTTTATAAAAAAGAATAGGAACATGTGTATACTCCGGTTATTGTTAGTGGAATTTATCACTTCTTCCGGGGAGTAAATTAGAATTAGATCCTTCCTTAACTCAATTGATGACAACACTAGCGTGACCTATGCTTCCTTTTTAAAAGCTTGTTTCTACAAGTATGTATATCGTTATTTATAAATACATTTTCTATCTCAGGTTACTAGCAGTTTTTTTCCTGCCATGGAAGAAACGGGATTGCAGCTTTCTGTCCAATCACGTAGTAGGTGAGAACTGGAGAAAATATTTGGAAGTTGCCTTCTTATAACTTTTTATGAAATTTTGGAGTGGAGAAGAGCAAATATGCTTACAGATGAATGCGAATGATTCATTTGGTCAGATATGATTTTTTTTTCAATTTGAAGGACAAATGAGGGAACAGAGAAACACAGACAAAAGAACAAATGGACAGAATAAACAAATAAACAAATAAGCAAGCAAACAAATCAAACCTGAGTTGCAAAATGTCGGTCTCTGCTTTTTACTCATCAACAGTATACTGATGGAATTAATTCGATAAGTTACAATTTGCACCACCTTTATATGGGACAGAAACGTGAATACACATCCAGAGATGGGCACATGTACATGCATTCATGCACATGCTTAAATACACACATGCATGTACACGCACACACACACACACACACACACATTCCACTTCTCAGTATCTTCAATGATCCATTCTTAATCATAGCAATTGCATTTAATCAGCACAATCTTCGTTTTAGGTGAAATTGGGTATCAGTATTTCCACTTGGTTGCCTTGCATAACATCCTGGCCACTAACAGCACAAAAGAAGGTTACAGCGGCAACTAGCTTAGAAAGGACACCCGAGATCCTAGATAGCAGACTCCTCTTATCTCACTTGCCAAGTATAGATGAACTTTAACAATTTTATGTGTACCGTCATTTTTTTTGTCGGTTAAAAGAAATAACAAGCAGGGTTTCATCTATTTGCCTGCAATTATTGCGATAAGGTGTCATAATTTACCATGTTTTACCTCGTGATTAATTGGCCTTGAGAAATGTTGATGGGTGTCATAAGGTAGTAAGAGGTATAAAGCAGTGGCCATCTTGGTTCAGCTCTATGTTTTTTTATGATTGATCCCTAGCCCTTTGCTTCCAGTACTTGACCTTCTTTGGTAGCGCTGGGCTGCTTCCGTCATTGTTGCCAAGGGCAACAGAATGCCGCCATATTTCCAAAACCGCAATCATTGAGTTTTTTTGCAGATAACAGCAAAGATGATAATTAGTTGTGAAATTTTGTTAGAGGGATTGTATTACTTTTTTTTCTCCCTCTGCCCCAGTGTTTTGGGGATTTGTGAAATTTTGCATATATCTTTTCGAGGGCAAGGGGTATGTTATGGCGATCATCGCAGTTTACTGTAGTTCTTTACTTTGATAAAAATTTAGTTTTGTTTTTGAAGATTTATCAGAACTTTACTGAAAATATCTAGATTACATGAAAATCTTATTTTAGTCAATAAACTAATAAAAACTATTAAAATAAAATAGTGAAATCAAATTTTTTGTCGTAACCCTGGCAATAAATATTTCGTGACACTTCTAAAGAAAGGAGCCAAAATGAATCCCCTATCACAAACTATGAAAACTTTATCGGTTAGCCAAAATGTATATCCTATAAGTTGGAAAACTAGACCTGTATTATGTGGCTTGCTCAGTTTGATGCAAGTCCACGGTGACTGTTTGCAATGATTGTTTCAAGATCTTCTCTAACACAATGAGGGACAACCAGTAGCAGCAGAACACAGTCATGAATGTGCTTCACAACAACTCTCTGCAAATCTCGAAATTTTTGTAGCTTTAATGTTTTTTTTATTTGTTTCTTATAATATCTTTTGTTTTTGGTTAATGTTTTTTTTATCAAAAATAAATAGAAAAATTAATAGATAAATCAAAAAGAGATAAAGCCAAGACTCATAAAGAAATGTAAATAGTTTGAATATTTATGCAGATTTTGCACCTAGTTTTTTAGGTGTAATTATTTTGTTTAGAACAGAAACAGTAAGCGCCTTCTAATATTTTGACCCAAAATGCCAGCAAGCGTGGACATTTATGAAAAGACAACATATACTTTTGTCGTATTCATTTGTCATATTGTTTATTTTTGTCTATCATTAAAACATCATTAAATTTAGTTTTTGTTTTTGATATAGTGAATGTCTTCTGTAATGGGAATCAGATGGGGTTATCTACCTCAGTCTCATGACATGATCATTACATTGGTATATAAATCAATAAGATCAAGTTTCTACATTAAAAACATAATTAATCAATAGTTTAATTACTTTTAAGTCTCATTTTGGTGTGCCTCAAGTCTCGAAATTCTGTAATCATCTCATTTTACCATTGATACCAACAGGAAGACGTTGTTTATTTATGAAGTTTCATAGAAGAGATTAGTGTTTTGTGTGCAGAGGTGTTCTCCTCAGAGCCCTGATTTATGTTACCTTGCAGCTGATTGGTTAACTTATCCACAGCCTCTAAATTTGATTTGGACATAGAATGTTATTGAAGTTTTATCACAGAAATTAGTGTTTGGTGTGCAGGTATATTCCCAGAGGGGCTTTTCCTAATGTTGCCTTGCAGAGAATGTCATGATTGCACTTCAGTTGGAGAAAGGCATTTTCCATCGTTGAAATGAGGGCTTGTTTTTTGTGCAAGGATATACCATGTAGTGTCATGTCCTGCCTTTCAGAGGCTCTTAATTTGTTGTCTTGACCTTTCTTTATAAATTTGACTTGAATAAGGTCATCTATTTATGATATTCTGAACAAAGAGATAAACGTAATATGTAACAACTGATACTATTTGTTCACCCTGTGTAAGTGGTATTTATTTTAATAAAAGTTTTTAAGTTTATATCTTCTTTTGTTGAAGAAGTCTTGTATATCTTGTAGACATCTGTTTTCCAGAGACAGTTATAGAAATATTCCTTTAAAATAGTGAATATATGGTGATATAATTTAGGTAACTGTTCCATGAGAGATGTTACTGTCTTTACTGCTTTGAATGCAGTATTGTATCATTTTTAGCTTGTTAATGTATAAAAACATTCCTGAAAGTTAAATCTTAGTCACTAGATGACCAGATGCAAATTTTTCAGTGATGTAGGGAGCAGAGGTCATTTCACTGTGACTGACCATAACTCTGTATAACTTTACCAGAGGTATGATCTCTCCCAGTGAGATATCTAAATTCTCTCTCTCTCTCTTCAAAAATTTACTGAAAAAAAATCTGAAAATTTACTAACCAAGTGAAAGTTTTCAATTATTTACTTTGCAAAATTATGAGTCTCCTCGTGAAGAAATTTGAGAACTCTTGTAGACTGCATGGCATTTATACTGTATCTTTTTTTTATGTGGTACAATGTTTGAATGTTTGGAGAAAAGTGATGAAAAAACCTATGCCTGCACAAAATATGCTTTTCTAACACACTAAATATCAGGTAATTAATTCTGTTAAACATTTTGAAAACTTAACTGTAAAATGTTAAAATGTATGTATTCACTGACATTGCAGTTGGTTTACACAGTTAGCTTTTGTTTCCAAAATAATTTTTGCTTGTTTCACTCTTAGCTTTGTTTTATGTAGTCAGTAATGTAATCCCAGTAATGTAGACCTGCCGGATATTTGTCACTGGAAATTGTAATCGTTGATTGACAGTTGGATTTCACAGTTTATCAGTCTTATGTGACTTTAATTCTTTCGAGGACTTTCTGAAATTATCAAAACAAAATTTATTTCAAACGTGAATTTTGTAAATACATGATATGATTCAGTGATTGTTTC